GGCGGCGCCGAGGCTTTGCCCGCGCTAGGCCGCGGCTCGCAGTGCAGCGTGGGAGCGGCCGCCCTCCCCGGCTCTCGGGGGTCGCTCCGGCAGCCGCGGGGCCGGGCAGCTGCTGTGTGGGGCCGCGGGCGTCTTTGCGCTGTGCTGCTGCTGCCAAACGTTTCTCTTCCGTGTGATTGCAGCAAACCTGAGTGAGCGCTTTTGCCAGAACAGTGTAGGTTTGTCAGGGCAGGGCAGTTGTGCCAACCAGCTGTGGTCTGGAGGAGAGGGGCTGGGTGCTGGCTGTTTAGCCCCATTTCTAATGGGAAACTTGAGCATGAGTCGGGGCTTGGTGACCTTCTCTTTGTTGCCCTCCTGTTATTAGGAGGCTGAGGCTTCCTGAGTTTATATATAAACTTATAGAGAAGGCATTTGTCTCCATGTGATGCTGTTAGACTTTTTACAGTGTTTTAGAGAGATGCTGTTAGGAAGAGGTCTTGAACATACACAGTTGATAGTGGTAATTATCTCCATTTTGCATTCAGGTTTACAAAACATGTATTTCTACATAATCCCACTTTCATGATAAATATGAAAACCACTTGGTCAATAGATCTCTAGCAACTAAATATACAAATATCTACAAGCAGGTTTAAATAATCCTGCCTCTGTATCTGTGATAAAACTTTTTTGTCTCTGTCTGACTCCCCCAAAAATACCCAGGTGGAATGATAGACTGTGTGATGTTCCTGGGAAGCTAGTTAACGGTGCTGTGCTAGACAGAGTGTTTCAAAAAGCAGGAACCCCTCATGGTGAACAGCCTGCTGGCAGTAGGCTGCCTGCTACTGATGAACCTGTCCTCAAGTGCCGTTACAGATCCCTGCTGCAACAGCTTGACACGAGGCCCTAATGTCTCGTGAAAAACAGTCTCAGACAACTGAGGGCATCATCAGTTAAGCCCAGCTTCTCAAATTCTACCTGGAAACTTCCAAATCCTGGGACACTGGCATTTATGTACTGACAGCGTGGAATAACATTTACTGCTGGGTTTTGCACTAGTTTGCACTTCTGAGTAACTTGAACGGGGAGCACCCCATCAAATTCATCCCCCCCAAATAACATGTTTAAAAGCAGTCTTGATGGCACAGCTAACCATGGCTTGCTTCATATGACCAAGAAGGTGGACATTTTTTCCTAGGCTAGTAGTATCCAAGTTTCTGAAAGTCATGGAACCCGGACCCCTGCCCTAAAGCCTGATGCAGCCAGGTGACCTGGTCTGGCAGTGGCCGTGCACTGCCATTGCCCTCGTCACAGAACCCCAGGGTCCCACAGAGCAGTTTGAAAACTACTGTCCTAGGCAGATATAAGACTTGATCGTTTCTGCTTGCTCAAATTATTGGCGCTTAAATTGTAGGACTGGTAATTTGTGGGATGTCATAGTTAACACCTTTGTTGTAAAGTGGGGTTTTCTTCAGTATTAAGTGACCATGAGCAGTCAAGGTCTCATGTTTGTATTTTACTTAAGACAAATCATTTTATTACCCTGTCAGTAGAAACCATTAGTTCTCTGTGTGGTCTAGCTGTTGGCAGATCATAGAGTGCATAGGAGAAGAAGTGAATTTTGATGAGGGATTTGAAGGGGCAAAGTAATGGTTTTATGGGTGTTGATTGGACATTTTTTTCCCTGTTCTTGAGACTGGGGGAGGAAGAGAAGGGAATGAAAGAAGTTCTTACCAAATAAGTAGAGAATCATACGAATGAGTTTGCCAACAGTAAAGCAAAGGTGAAGGTCAGCTGGACAGGCAGGGTGAGGTTTAAGTGAGGAGTGCTTTTTAAGTAAGAACAAGAAGGCTGTTTTCTTTTTTAGAAAGTGATGAAAGGGGGGGGGACCAAGGAAATGATTCAAAAGCGACCAGAACTCTGAACAGTGAACCAGCAAAGTGATGGTAGCATCAGTATTTGAATGGATTTGATTGTATGGGTGAGTCTATAGGTAGTAAGGCCAGAGAGAAGATACCACACTAACTTTTTAAGGTCCTATAAGTAATGAAGAAGGAAGTGTGGGGGAGGAGAAAAAAAAAAGAAACTACATGCTTTTCGTTTGAACTCTGAAAAGTTGGTTTCCTGTATGCTGGTAAGGTATCTTTAGTAAGGGGTATGATTTGGTTAGTTTGTATGAAGTACGTAACCTTTATATTTTTCCAGGTTTTAAAAACACATTTAATGCAATTAGTGCTTTTGAAAATCCCACTCTATTATCTTTACTTTCTGTTGATGTTAATATAGGAGTGAAATTAAGTGCAGGTGTGTCTTTGAAAACCCTGCTCTATTCATACAAATCAAGACACAAATATCAGCATTTATCAAGAAATTGTTCAGAATGGTCCAGATGCTGGGTGTCAAATGCATTTAGTTCATCATGTTTGGCGGGGGAGCTTGGGGGTGGATTTTTTTTATTTACTCTCTGAGATATTGGATGGGTGCGTTTGTTTTTATATTTTTCAGTTTGTAATAAGCTTGAAAAATCCTGTCTGTACAAATTGACTGAACTTCCACAAAGATGTCCAAGGTAAGAACAATGTCTGTATCTTTGAGCATAATGGAAAAGTTTTACATTTCTGAAAAACAAAAAATGTAAAGCAGAGAACCTGTAACATTTCCTTTATGTATAATGACTATAAAGACTTTAAAGTTGTCCTCCATAATTAGGTTTATGGAATAAGGCTGAACTTAAGAAATGAGAATAAATATTGAATATCTCAATACTAGGTAAAGTTTATCCCCAAAAATGCTCAGAAAGGGTGTTTCTTTAGGTAGATTATAAATCAAAGCAGCCTAGCAAATTATGTAGGATATCTTCCAGAAACTGCTTGTTTTTCCACTGAAGTAGTGCTCCCTCACTTGAGTAAATCCTTAGTTGCAGTATTTTCTAGTGGCAGAATCAT